GAGGCATTATTCTTTAGGTTGAGGGTATCCATTTTCAATTTTAAGCTGACGAGTGTCATATCCCAAGTGATCAAAATTAATCTGACTGAGGTAGGGAGACCGGGTGGGAGGCTTGAGTTTTCATGAAAGGTAGCACACACCCGTAGCCAAATAGTTTTATCAACCCGTTTCCCGCCTGCAGAATTTTAAGGATTCAATAGCCTTCTTTCATTTTATATTCTCTCTGCCCCTCTCAGTACACACTGACAGTGTTTCTGGTGATACAAAAATTATCAAGAACTTTGTGGTCTCCTGTGTATGTCACTCATACACAGAAGCTTCTCTACAGGTCTATCCTGGATAATCCCATCTCTATTTTGGCTTCTGTTGAGCTGGCTGAGGGTGTGTAGGAGTCACATACTTAATCTTTTCAAAGAGCCTTTTGTGTGAATGAATACTCTGACCTTTTAATCTTTCTGAGATTTTAGCCAAAGGTTTTCCATTCACACCTCGCTTTCTTCTCCAATGCACAGTTTCCTGGCAGTGAATCTATTGCTGTTAACATCTTTTGCAATCTGGATAGGCCAAACATTTCTCAAGTCATCAAGTCATGGTTCCTTCTTGTTTATCAGTCTTCCCTCTGTTTATCTCTTTTGGAGCCACATCTTCTTCTCAGCAACAAGAGAAACCAGACTGCACCTTCAACACTTTGCTTGGAAATCTTCTCGGCTAAATATCTAAGTTAATCATTTACAAGTTCTGCTTTCCACATAACTGCACGCCACATTTTCCTAAGCTTTCTACTACTGTATAATAAAAATTTCCTTTCCTCCAATCTCCAATAACATGTTCCTTATTTCCTTCTGAGCCCTCACCAGCAGTGCCTTTAATGTCCATGATTCTACCAGCTGTCTGTTCAGGACAATTAGGTATTCTCTAAGGTGATAGATGTTTTCTTTACCATACTTCTCACTTTCTTCTGAGTCCTCAATAGCAGAGTCATTAACATCCATATTTCTACTAACAGTCCATTCAAAGCAAAGTAGGCTTTTTCTATCCTTCTCAAAATTCATCCAGACTCTGCCCATCACCCAACTCAAAGTCACTTCCACATTTTTAGGTACTTAATAGGTCAGCATCCCACTTCCAGCTAGTTACCAAAATCTGTATTCGTATTGGATGGCTGCTACCACAATCTCTAACTTGCTTTTTCCATAAAATATATTAATGGTGACACTAATATGCTACATAATATAAAATCTTTTATCACATATATGAAAGCCATATGTTGACTCATTACCATAATGAGTCAACAGAATTATATTTTAATATCCCAAACTCCAATTATCTCTCATCCAGCTAGATGCAGTAGAACTCACATAACTAAAAACTGTAAATTAGTAATAATTTTTAGTAATAAATTTCCTATAAAAGATATACAACTATTGCAAACAGGTTAAGTACCCTGAAGGATTCCTTGATAATTAAGAACATAACTGTTTAAATATATTGCTGGAAGAAATGGAAGAAAGACACAAATAGGTGGAAAGATATCCTGTTTATGGATCAGAAGAATTAATATCGTTAAAATGTTCACACTACTCTAGAGATCCAATTTAATCCCTGTCAAAATTGCAATGGCATTTATCACAGAAATAAAATATATGTATATATGATATATATATATATATCACATGAAACCACAAAAGACCCCAAATAGCCAAAGCAATCTTGAAAAAGAAGAACAAAGCTGGAGATATCACACTTTCTGATTTCAAACTATGTTACAAAGCTATGGTAATCAAAATGGTATGCTACTGGCATAAAAACACACACACAGACCAATGGAACAGAATCAAGAGCCCAGAAATAAACCCATGCATATAAAGGCAACTAATATTTGACAAGGAAGTCAAGAATATTCAATGGGAAAAAGATAGTCTCTTCAATAAATGGTGTTGGTGAAACCGGATGTTCATATACAAAAGAATGAATTTGGATCCTTATCTTATATTACTCACAAAAATTAACTCAAATGGACCAAAGACATATATGTGAAACCTGAAACCATAAAACACTTAGAAGAAAACCTAAAGAAAAAGCTTCTCGACATGGGTCTTGGCAGTGATTACTGGATATGACACCAAAAGCACAAGCAACAAAAGCAAAAATCGACAAGTAGGACTAAAACTAAAGAGCTTCTGTAGAGCAAAAGAAACAATCAACAAAATATAAGACAACCTAGGAAATGGGGGAACCACACATCTGATAAAGGGCTAATATCCCAAATACATCAGTAACAGATACAACTCAATAGCAGAAACAAACAACAACAACAAAACCCAAAAGACAAATAATCAATTAAGAAAATGGGCAAAGGACCTGCATAGACATTTTTCCAAAGAAGATATACAAATGGTCAACAGGTACATGAAAAGGTGCTCAACATCACTAATCAATCACCAGGGAAATACGAATAAAAACCACAGTGAGATACTACTTCATACCTGTTAGAATGGCTATTATCAAAATGACAAGAGATAACAAATGCTGGTGAGAATGTGGAGAAAGGTTCCTTGTGCCATGTTGGTGGGAATGCAAAGTGGTGCAGCTACTATGGAAAACAGTATAGAGGTCCCTAAAAGAACTGTCACATGGTCCAGCAATCCCACTTCTGGGTATACATATGAAGGACATGAAATCATTTTCTCAAAGAGATAGCTGTACCCTGAAGTTCACTGTAGCATTATTCACAATAGCAAAGACAGAGAACCAAAGAAACAACCTAAGCATCCTTCAATGGGTGAATGGATAAAGAAAATGCAGTGTGTGTGTGTGTGTGTGTGTGTGTGTGTGTGTGTGTGTGTGTATACATGAATATAAAGTGGAGTATTATTCAGCCATAAAAAAGAAGCCAATCCTGCCATTTGGGACAACATGGATGAAACTTGAGGGCATTCTGCTAATAAGTCAGACAGAAGAGGACACCTATTGTATGATCTCACTTATATGTGGAATCTTAAAAAGCTGAACTCCTAGAAACAAAAAGTAGATTGGTGGTTGCCATGGAATGTGGGGTGAGGGAAATGGGAGATGTTGATCAAAGGGTACAAACTTCCAGTTACAAGATGAATAAGTGTGTGTATGTATATATAAATATATATATATATATATATATATATATATATATATATATGTTGCTAAGAGAATAAACCTTAAATGTTCTCACCACAGGTGCACACATACACACCCGGAGTAATTATGTGAGGTAACAGAGTGTTAACTAATCTTATTTTGCGATATATACATGTATCAAATCATAATTTGTACACCTTAAACTTACATAATGTTATATGTCAACTATATCTCAATAAAGTGGTGGGGGGGGAGAACAGAGCTGTTTAAATGTTTCTGCCAAGTCATATCAGTTAGTCTGACAAATGCTCACATTCTATTAAGGATTATATTTATGTTCAGAATATAAATAAGACCACAATCCTCTCTAATATTCTTATTTAATTGTATTTACCTAGAGACTGATGAAAACAAATGCAAAAAAATCTTTAATTCATTTTTACTTTTTACTCATTTTTACTTGGTGCCTTTTCACACAAGAAACAGTCAATATGCAGTTCAGTCACTGAAATATGACAGTTGAGATGTTTCATGTATAATAATTGTGAATATACTTATTTCCTATACCATTTTCTGCATTTATTATCTGTGTTGTTTCATTTGAATTATAAAATTCATGAGTGCTAGATTGCATTTTCTTTGTTTCATCAGAAAAGAAATAACTATCGCATATGCAATGGGAGATCAATATTAATTAACAATGATCATCTTGATTATAACCTCCACATCAGGAAAATTGTTTCAAGTGATTAATGCATTATTTATTGATTAGGCCCGTTCTATCCTATAAAACACAATAATTAGCCACTCAGAAAGGAACTGCTAGAATTTTTTTATTGGTAGTTTGGAAGACAATCAAAGGCATGAATATAAATTCCAAAGTACTTATAAGTAAGGCCTTGTTGTGTGGCTAGAACTTCGTATCTGGAACCTAGAGAAGTCTTTCACCAAATGATCCTTTAGGTAAAGCCTGGGAGAGCTAACACATGAAGCCACTTAAAATGACATTTCATTTAGTGTGAATTATCTAAATTAAAAGAATGCCACCCACTAAATATTGGATGAGATAAACCTTCACGATGAGCATGACAGCTCTGATGGAGGAATAAGAGGAAAGAGCAATTCTGTATGGAGTGTGGAGTAGAGTCTGGGGGCACAGGTCGTGTTGATGCCTATCAGCAGCAAAGGAGAAGCAGAGGGGCTCAGTCTCTAAAGAAGGAGCACTGAGAGGGAAGTGAGGAAATATCAGGATATGCTCTAAGACGTAAAGGCCAAAACCAGTAACACTGCACAGGGTGCTAATTGCCTTTTCACTTTTTCATATAGAGGGAATTTTAAAAAGAATGTAAATACTTAGCCTTATTGGAAAATAGAAAAGTAAAACTGTTTCTGGAGTAACTGAGCACTTAGATAAAAAATCTTAAAAACATGCATGTATTTTGATGCTGAAATGCAATGTTAGAATTTTTTTCCCCTGGAGGACTGAACAAATATACCAAAGATCTGTACATTGTACAAAAAAATAATGTCGCAGTGTCACTTATAATATCAAAAAATATTAAATGACTTAAATGTTTATCAGTAGAGAGTTGGTTGAATAAATCATCAAATATCCAAACACTAAAATCCTAAAATGATTATGTAGTTGTGTATTTATTGACTTGCAAAAAAAAATCCATGATATTTTGAGTGGAAAAGGCATATTTAAAAGCTGTATGTGGACTATGGTCTCCATTATTGTATTAAAAATTTACATATATACATATGTAAAACAAAAGGCTTGAAAAATATTCACCTATGTGTGATTATCACTGAAGTGGGATTATGGCTAATTTTATTTTATTTTTGTATGCCTTTCATCCTTTTCTCTATAAATGACGAAACAGACATCAAGGTCAATATTAATCATTGGAATGGAACTAAATGCATAAAAATCAGGAACAGTTTAACTGCATACCCTGAACATAGCAGGTACTAAATAACTATGGATTATTTGTTTGTTTTATTGAGTTAGTGAGTGAGTGAGTGAGTGAGTGAGTGAGTGAAAAGGTGTCACTAATGGGGAGTGAGCATGAAGCTTAAGGAATTACAGCGAAAGAGTGGTGTGGTTAAATGCTAAAGTTGATTCTATTTTGTTGGCAGCTGCAGAACGATTCCTATTCTGCTCCCTATAATTGCTAGGAGGATATTTAAATTGTGGAGCTCTAAGTGGCTGCCCTCAATTTGCTTCAGAGATAGTAATAATGCCATCTTACAGTTTATAAAGCACCTATTCTTACATCTCACTGGAGACCTACAATAATCCTGTATGAATCTAAGGACTATTATTCCCTTTTCAGATAAGGAAACTGATGCACAGAAAAATGAATGACACATTAAAAGTCATAGAACTTGCACTAGTTAGGGTAATGCTAGCACCTGCAACAAACAAATACTAAAATTTTGGCAACTTAATACAATAGATCTTATTTTTTTGTTATCTTACACCCATACAGGTGTTCCTGATTGGTGGAGAGTCATCCATGAAGTGATCCAGTGATCCAGGCTTTTTGCATCTGGGACATCACCTTCCTCTAGACTTCAACTCTTCTGCATCCAGAAAGCAGATGGGGAAAGAGGGAGTGAAATAAGCATTCATGCATTTAAGCTCCTTGGCTCAGAAATGATATTTATAACTTCCGCTCTTGTTCTATGGCTAGAACAAGTGACATGAACCGCAGCTGGACAAGAGAGGATGGTGCCAAGAAATAATCCCCTCCTGGGCAGATGTTTTTCAGTGCAACTCTATTCTATGGAAGAAGAAGACAATGCTATAAGCCAGTAAGGAGACTCTCCAGGACTCAAAACAGATAGATGACTTTAAGTCCAGTGTTCTTGCTACCACAACATACCACCTAGGCATCCAGAGTTGGCTCAGCTTGCTTCAAAACACTTGAACTAGCGCCTGACCTAACACTGTAGGTAGTATGGGACAGAGGATTGTCACCAATGGGAAGACTACTTGAACAGACCGATGAGGAGAACCAGGCTTAAGCCAGGCTGTGCCATATCTGACTGAATAAATCATGAATTCTCTCTGTGTCTCTTTTTTCAGGGACATTGATCCAAATCTCTATTTCCCAATCTTTCCCACAAAGCTTCTGGACTTTTCTATTATTTTTCCCTAAGATGCTCAAACATTCCTATAATGTTATAAGAGCCCATGAAAGCCCCGTAACAGCAAGAGGTAGCTGGTAAAACCACATGTCACTGATATATTCCATGCAAAGGTAAAAAAGGAAACATTACTTAGCCTTGGTAGTCGTAGCTTGAGCAACTGTTAAATTTCTATTTGCCTTTTGGAAATATATATATATAATTCCCCACCCCTATTAACTACCTCTGTGGACCTAGTGAGTCCAGAACTCCACGACCTCCTAAACCCCCAGACAATTACTATCTGAAAATATCTTTTGTTTCTGTAATCTTGACAAGTGAATTCCAGTCACACACACTTGCCCACTAAAAAGAGTGTGCCTGGAAATACTGGTTTTCTGCTTCCCCACTTGTCTGAATCCAGAAGTGTATATTGAGCTGCAAGTGGATGAAGGTGATGGACAGGAAGACCTGGAAAAACACACCTCAGGAAGCCAAGCAACAACTTTATCAGAAGCCCCGTTACTGTTTGAACTCCAGGGTTTTCTTCATTCACAAATCCATATTCATCACTCCATCCTGAAAATCTTACCCCCTCCTTCATCTTCTCCATGAAATATATCGGAAATAACAAATAACAGAGAATATGGAACTCCCATGTACCCATCCCTCTATCAGCTTTGTCAAATCTGCATACTTTGTACACTTGTTTCTGACGTTTTCAATAAATAATGTAAATAACTTTTAAAATATTGAAGGCTGACTAGTTATTGTTTCTCTATCCCACTTTCCTAATTCCTTCCCCAGAGGTGACCACTAATTTGAATCCAAATAACTATCCCCCGTCTAGTGTTAATCACTCCCACACATAAATGTTATGTTACATATTGTTCAATAACAATATGTAAACACTTCTTGGAGCGCCGGGATGGCTCAGTCGGTTAAGCGTCTGCCTTCGGCTCCGGTTATAATTCCAGGGTCCTGGAATCGAGCCCCACATCAGGCTCCCTGCTCAGCAGGGAGTCTGATTCTCCTTCTGCTCCTCCCCCTGGCTCATGCTCTCTCTCTCTTAAATAAATAAAATCTTTGTATCTATCTATATATATCACCTCTTTTCATGATGTCAAACTTTATATAAATGGTATCATACTGTATATATTATTCTACACTCGTTTCTTCGGTTGTTTAAAATGTTGTTGGGCACCTAGGTGGCTCAGTTGGTTAAGCGACTGCCTTCGGCTCAGGTCATGATCCTGGAGTCCCGGGATTGAGTCCCACATCGGGCTCCCTGCTCAGCGGGGAGTCTGCTTCTCCCTCTGACCCTCCCCCCATCTCATGTGCTCTCTCTCTCTCATTCTCTCTCTCTCAAATAAATAAAAATCTTAAATAAATAAATAAATAAATAAATAAATAAATAAAATGTTCTTGAAATTTAATTATTAAATGCACGGTATTCTAGCACATTCATTTTAAGAACCATAAAGCCTCCTTTTGTATAAATACATCAAATTTTAAAACCCATTCTCCCTGTGGCAAACCACAGTGACATACATTGACATTCTTGTATATATTTCTCTGTACAAAAGTATGAGGGTTTCTGTGATATACATATGTAAAAATTCCCTTCAACTTGACTAGATATACACAAATTTCTCTCAAAAATGGTTTTGATAAGTCCTGAAAATTCCTGTTACTTCACTTACTTGCCAAATTGTTTCTTACTTATCTGATTGGTTTTAACTGGCATACCAATAATTCCTGGTGAGATTAACATGTTTTCATGTACACATTGACTTTTTGGGTTACTTACTCTGTGAATTGATTTTTCATATCCTTTGCCTATTTTTATATTAGATTATTTCTTTTTAATGATTTGTAGGCCTTCATTATGTATCTTGGATAATAACTGTTAGTTATTGAGTTACAAATATCTTCTCCCAGTGTTTGGCTGTTTTTTTGTTGTTGTTTTAACTTTCCTTTGGGTTTCTTTTATTCACGATAATTGACACTTTAATATTTTTATAAATCTTATCCTTTGTGGTTTATGCTTTTTGCATCTTGTTTAAGGAAGAATATCTGCCCTCACAAAGATATATTCCTTTTTTTTTCTGAAGGTATTAGTTTTCCTTGACATTTGGATATTTAATCACCCTGGAACCTATTTTTAAGCATTGCTTTCTTTAAGCATCTAATGTCATGGTAAACCAATGAGTATAGTCATATTTTTTGAACTAATATAGTTAGTTCTACTATTGTATTACTCTTTGGAATTACACTAATTTTTCTTGGTTCTTTGTGTCTTAGTAGTTTTAGAATTATGTGTTGAGATTTTTTATTGAAATAGCATTGAGGGGCACCTGGGTAGCTCAGTCAGTTAAACGTCTACCGTCCACTCAGGTCATGATCCCAGGGGTCCTGGGATCAAGCCCACATCACATCAGACTTCCTGCTCAGTGGGCAGTCTGCTTCTCTCTCTCTCTCTCTCTCCCTCTGCCCCTCCCCACTGCTCATTCTCTCTCTCTCTCTCAAATAAATAAAATATTTAAAAAAAAACAAATAGGATTGAATTCATAGATCAATTGTGGAGATAGGGATTAATATCTTTACAATCTTGATTTTTCTTACCCAGGATCTTGGTTTATCTTTCTATTGGAGCATTCTAGTGTGTCTTTCAAGAATGTTTGTAAGATTCTTCACACAAATCTTGCTCATTTTTAGTTAAATGTATTTCTAGTACTTTACAGTATTTGTTGCTATTTGGAACATTTTAATTAGTTATTTCATGTGGAGAGAAACACTACTCAGTTTTTGTATATTGATGTTTTATCCAACAACCTTTCTAAAATCTCCTATTAGTTCTAATGATTTTTCTATAGAGTTCCTTGATTTTTCTATGTAGAACAATTATATTACCTAAAATAAGAACACATCTGTCTCTTCCTTTCCAATGTGTATATTTATATTTATTTATATTTCTTTTTCTTGTCTTAGTGTACTGCCTAGAACTGCCAGTAAAGAGTACTGAAGAGTATTAATAGTGGGCATCCATTGTTGTCTTTTTCCTAACCAAATGGAAGGCTTCTAATTAATGGTTCACAGATATATGATGTTTGCTCAAAGTTTTTCATAATTCATTCTTCAGGTTTGGAAAATTTCCTTTTATTTCTTTTTTTTAAGATTTTATTTATTTGACAGAGAGAGAGAGAGACAGTGAGAGAGGGCACACAAGCAGGGGGAGTAGGAGAGGGAGAAGCAGGCTTCCCGTGGAGCGGGGAGCCCAACATGGGTCTCGATCCCAGGACCCTGGGATCATGACCTGAGCCGAAGGCAGACGCTTAACAGCTAAGCCACCCAGATGCCCCCAAAATTTCCTTTTATTTCTAATTTGCTCTGAGTTTTGTATTTTGATCTTGTTTTTTAAATATAGAGTTTTACCACTTTTGTTGCATCTATTAAGATAATCACACCCTTTTTCTCTGTTCATCAGCTAATGAAAATTACATTAATTTTCTGATATTAAATTAGTCTTACATTCCTAAACTCTATTTGTTCATTTTTTAAAAAATACACTAGTAGATATAATTTGATATTTTATTTAGGATGCGTGCAACTATGTTTATAAGTATGATTAATCTATATTTCTTCCTTTTATTCTCCTTTTAATATTTTTACCCAAGTTACAGTTTTTCTTCTTTCTCTATTCTCGGCAATAGAGAAAGAAAGACATGGTACATCAATTTCTTAAAGCTTTAGGTGCTGAGACTATTACTTAGTATTATTATCTAAAACATCAACCATCCATTTATAGATGTTACTACATTTATTGAACCTTACTTTTATTTCAATAGCCATATTTTTATTTTTAAGATCCTTATTTTTTTATATCTACTATCCCTGTTTCAATTCTGCCTGCCTTTGTTCCATAATCTTTTTCTTTTTAAATGAATCTTTTTATTTATCTCTTTAAACATTCTAAACATTCTCATTTTTGTCTTTTTTCTGACTATACCATTAAATTAATTCCTCTTCTGTTTGGTAATTTTATTGATTATTTTGTTTAGCATTAGATTTCTTCTCCTGTTTTGGATATTTATTTTTAATGCAGAATTTTTCTATCAGTTCTATCTCCTTCTCTCTTTTTATCTATCTTCCTGGGTTCTCCCTTCCCAGTCTAAAGACTTGAGACTGACACCTAATCAACATCCAGGTGATAGAAAAGTGTATCCTTTCTCATGCTCCATCATGATTTCAGAGATACCACAAATCTAATCATCAGAGGGGCTGGCTCAGTTCTTTGTGTTGAGGCAGTGTTTTTGTCTGCTTGTCTGCCTGGGCCCATAGAGTCCCATAAAGCTATGACTTCAGGCAGTGAGTCAGCAATAACTTTTTTCAATCTCATTTTCAGAAGGTGGTGGATCTACCTCAGTTCCTGGCTTCAAGCTGTAAGCTTGGCTAGATCGGCCCTCTGTCTTGATGCAGTAGGCCCCAAGCTGCCACTGCCTGTTTCCAGAGATGGAATCTGGCAGGCCTGCACCTCCACCCCTGCTCACACTTTATGTTCCTGTTTTATTTGTGATCCACAGACATGTTTACTCATTTTTGTACCTACCTATATCATTTTGGTTTTCCCTTCTTTTTTAAAAAAATTCCATCTTTGGCTGCCAAGTGTTTGAAATAGAGGATTTTGTTAAAGCATAAATTCACTTAGCGATTTTACCCAAAATTGCTAAAAATTTGTTTCTTAAATTTATTTTGCATCTTTCCTAATATCCGGAATGACCTATGCACTCCACTGACTTTGGTGTGATCACATTAGATGAACAAATGAATAAATGAATGAATGAATGAAAGGGGAAGGAAGTAATGAAGTAGCATGAATAATTAAAAGAGAACCAAGACACACAATGCTGACTCAAAGAGGCTTAAATGATTAGCACAAT